ATTGGTCGTCATACACAGTATTGTGTTCCCATGCAGTTGTCGTGGTCCGATGCGCCTCCGTCTGTGTCATCGCGTGTTGCATTGGGGGGGGGGGGGCTATTTTGGAAAAGAGACACTGGCGGCTTTCCGTGAATCATGACTTGAGCTCCTATGGGTCAGGCGGTGATGACATGGCTCAATCATTTGCAGACGACATTTTCGCCAGTTTCACGTCGTCACCTCCCCTAGTGGTCGATATTTGATAACAGTCATTAAAAACGCCCGGAAATGGGCCACTCCCTGGTTTATGGACGATTATTCGCGGGCGTCTACACAAACGGACACATTCCTGCCGGTATGATCGTCTGTTTTCTCCTCCGTCAGTATGAGTTCGTATAATCTCGCTGACCTGGGCCTATTTTCGTCTCGTTTTCTTCAGGTTTTTGCGATTTTAAAAGTTCACGTGTGGTCACAGGTTAATCGAATGGGGAGACAAAATGGTGGTGGATTTGCCAGATTGCAGAAATAAGTCACATTCTCAAACAGCACTTGAGTGTGCGATCGGTGTCTGCCAAGACACAATGTCAGCAGAGTTGTCACTGGCCGGGCCTTGACAGGTCAGGCCGCTGAAGCCGTTTCGTTTCAGGTCAGTTGACCTTGATGATCGCTCGGCCCGTGGTCTCGCTCCAATTATATACACCAGTGCCCAATCCGTGAGGTTCATATAACCTTTAAAACGATCTTTGAATTGCTTTTTATGCATTTAAACTTGACTGGAATTAGACATAAGTTTGCTTATGGGATTCGTAGCACGTTGTATGTTATTGCCATGTTTCACTTCAGTGGTTTCTCTTACGTTTCAAATGAGTCGTATCAACACAATGTGAATGGTCTATGACATTTTTTTGACAATGGTCTACCTATGACATTTTTCGCATCATCTGATCTTTGCCAAACTGGCGACCTTACAAAATATAAAAATATTTGGTCGACAGGCTCAGATGGATCCGAGAGGTACGATCTATGGCTTGAATCAGGCATTTTGATTTTTGTCGTTTGATCACGATGATAGTTCGGTTTGTTTGGGAAATATTCAGAGAGCCTCTCCCGACAAATGTATGATTGTACCATGCAAGTAATAACTTTTAAAAAAAACGGTAATTGTCTAATGCATGTATTTCCTACTGTTTGAGACATCTCGCGTTTCTGTTATTTCTTCACACCACATTAGTCGGGTATATTCACCCTTGACCTGTGTCCGAGAATGGAGGCTGGTGTCACAAGGCCGGCTCAGTATCCATCTCTCGTGCTCGTGGACTGCCACGCTTCACTACACTGGTGTGACACGGATGGAAGGGCTGATGGTTATTATCAGAGTACGCCTGAATCCGTTTCCCTGTGATCCCAGTGGCTGACCGGTGACGTCAAACAGCACAGACAAAGCTGGGCGTTGGTGGAACAGATGGCTGGTCTGGGTGCAAGTATTTGGTCACAGTCTTTGAGCGGAGGCTGTCGAATGAAGTGCGGTATTATGAGCTTTATCCCAGCCCCTTGTTCTGTTGGTAGCGCAGACTCTTTCGCCATTTCCAGACGAGCACGATATTTTCGCAAGTGTGGAGATAATCCATCTGCGGTTTATTAGGCGTTTCCAAGGCTACTTAAATCACTTCTGTCGGCGGTGCACATTCTCGTCGGCTGCACATTAAATCTCCCATCTGCCTTTTTTTAGATGATTTTTGATGTCTTGTCTCGACGGGCTTTAATGCAAAAAACTAACCAGGGGAGATAAAGCTACCAATTTATAGAATATGATCGTTGACACAAATGTAAAGTTTAGCGAGCCATTTGGCAATAAATTTGCGAAAATTGCAACAAATTACAGCCGATCATGCCAGTCAGACGACACCCAAAGCTTAGCATTGGCCTGTGCTCCCAACGTTTGCAGCGTAAGCTTCTGTAGAGCACGTCTCGGAGCACTGGCGTAAGAAATAGACTACAAGCTTTGCTATATCAGTGCCGACGTTAAAGATCAGTGGTGACGAGGCGTTTTTCTAATGGCCCTAAGATCAGTGTTTTCACACATTTTTCCAGCCAAGAAACATTTCATACACTAAACAGTATGAAATGCCAAATGACTCGGTTTATTGCTAGTCGTAAAGATCACGGCTGGCCTTAGTACTTTGCGGAGAACGTGATCAGTATACTACGCAGCGTTCAGATCCTCGTACCATTTGAGACAGATGGCTTGGAATGCCCGCAACGTGGTTGTAAATCAGCTTAAGCTCATTAAGCTGTTCGGGTTTTTATAGAACGCAAAACCCCACGCACCTGTGACGCTGCACAATTTATTTCCTAACAAGAAAAGCAGCAAATAAGAAGGAAGAAATCTGTCGGCTCATGTGCCAGGTTCAGTGAACCAATCGTGCCTATCGTGACTTCAAAAGTTGGCAGAAAACAGCCCTCACTTTTGACATCAGCGGCATGCTTTTCGTGCCTGTTCAGACCATATACTCTGAAAGTATAGGGTTTTTTGTACTCCCTGCAGTACCAGTGCATAATTATCGATTCGCTTACTTTGACTTTCAAGCGTCATAAGTGTCAGTATTTATTCCTTACCATATTGAAGTTTTTATCTCTCCACATTTTGCAAGCATCTTTGCGGTTTGCCGTGTGCTGTCGTCGCTACACTCATGTTTGTCTATAGTGTTGGTTTCATAACCACTTGCGAGAATGGTTGCAAGTTTATGCTAGGCTGTCGCGAGTAGTGCAGGATAACTATCATTGTAAGCACAAGTGGATGCCATTTAAGATAGAGATATTCCAGCGCATCCGCGATGTGCAACGAGCAGTTTTTTGACGATGTAGCCTCTATACAGTTTAGTGGGTGGGTGTATGATGTGATCTCAAGCATCAGTATTCAGCCCGTAGTCATTCTCCACTAGCGAACTGACTGATTGCCTTTGCGCGTATGTACCTACCATATCTGGAAGAGAAGCTTTGCGTATAACCGGGATATCGGCTTACCTCATGTGATATATTTATATGATGGGATGAGGAAGGTACATCGCACTTTAACCCTCAATTGTATGCCGAAGCAAGAGGCTGGGTCAATTTGTGCCATGCACGTCCGGTCTGTTTGGATGAAAATGTAGCTTTGGACTGAGTCAGGGACTGACTCACCTCATGACATGCACAAGCTTATGCTATGTAATGATTGCACGTTTCAAGTTATGCCTGTCGTGATTTTACGAAACGACCAAGGCGAGGTATTAGGGTTATGGTTGGAACGAGTTTTCGAACTATCGCCGTCTTTGGTACGCTTCTATACGCATATTATCACTTACAACATTGACAAGTCCAGACGATAGTCTGAATAATCATTCCACTCGTGTTCCTGCTGTGCTGCTAAGACCACATGCTAATGTGTTATGCAATAGTTTTTGCATGCATTAAAAAGTTTTCGAAATGAGACATTAGTCAAAATTCAATTATACTTGCGAGGTTAGGAGGGTTCAGAGCAAAATTCCATTGCGAGGCTGGGTGATGCTTCAGATTTGGACTGCGAGGAGGGACGGGTTACAGAGCATAAAAAGTGACTGTGTGAGCATTACCATGTTGCCAACCGTTGGTGTCATCATCAAATGGGGTCGCTATTACTTCCGTTATCACCACAGCCACTGTCAGTCGGTGTTGGAAACGTTAGTTATAGTCGATGTCACCACCAGCCTGTGTGTCGACGTCACTACTAGTCTGTATGTCGACGTCACCATTGGTTAGTTTGTCGACGTCACTACTGGTCTGTGTCGACGTCACCACCGGCCGGTATGTCGACGTCACCACTGGTCTGTAAGCTGACGTCACCACTTGTCTGTGTCGACGTCGCCGCTGGTCTGTGCACCGACGTCACCACTGGTCTGTGAGCTGACGTCACCACTGGTCTGTGTCGACGTCACCACTGGCCTGTGTCGACGTCACCACTGGTCTGTGTCGACGTCACCACTGACCGGTGTGTCGACGTCACCACTGGTCTGTGAGCTGACGTCACCACTGGTCTGTGTCGACGTCACCACTGGCCGGTGTGTCGACGTCACACTGATCTGTGAGCCGACGTCATCAGTGGTTTGTGCGTCGACGTCACCATTGGTCTGTGTGTCGACCTCACCACTGGTCCGTGTGTCGACCTCACAATTGGTCTGTGTCGACGTCACCACTAGTCTGTGTCGACGTCACCATTGGTCTGGTCCCCAGCGGCAGTGTAAGCCTGTCTGTGTGACCATCCGTCTGTGCCACATCGCTCAGTGTCGGCTTGTTCGTCGGTCCGTATTCCTGTCAATATTAGCCGCTGCTATTGTTGGCGGTCTCACTATCGGTCGGCGTCACCACCTGTCGGCAACGTCTTAACCACCGGCTGGCACCTTTGTTACCATCGCCGTTTGTTGTCGGTGTCGTCATGAGTTCGTACCAGTATCACCATCGGCCGGCGTCACCAATGGTCCTTGTCGGCGTCACCATTGGTCCTTGTCGGCGTCACCGCTGTTCCTTGCCGGCGTCACCATTGGTCCTTGTCGGTGTCACCATTGGTCCTTGTCGGCGTCATCACTGGTCCTTGTCGGCGTCACCATTGGTCCTTGTCGGCGTCACCATTGGTTCTTGCCGGCGTCACGATTGGTCCTTTCCGGCGTCACCATTGGTCCTTGCCGGCGTCACCATTGGTCCTTGTTGGTGTCACCATTGGTCCTTGTCGGCGTCATCACTGGTCCTTGCCGGCGTCACCATTGGTCCTTGTCGGCGTCACCATTGGTCCTTGTCGGCGTCACTACTGGTCCTTGTCCGCGTCACCATTGGTTCTTGCCGGCGTCACCACTGGTTCTTGCCAGCGTCACCCTCGGCCGGCGTCGGTGTCGTCGCCGGTCCGCGTCGGACGGCGCGCGCGCCGTAGGTCAGGTGAGGCGCCGCCGCCGCCGCCGTCGTCGTCGCCGCGGCAGCTCCCCAGTTGGTGACGCCGGCCGGTCCGAGGAGGGTGCGCGTGCCAGCGGGGAGGACCGCAACCCGGCAGCCACCGGTCGCAGACGGCTCACCAGTGGACACTCACGGTCAGTCGTCGTCGGCCCCGGCGTCCACCCTGTCTCCTGGCCGCGGTCGACAGTGACTTCTAGACTCGTGCCCTACTTGCATGGAGTTTCACGGTTGCCCCTGAGCGCTTTAGGCCATTTCACGTCCAGTGTGCCCCCTGGATCAAGCCTTGTCAGTGTCGGTGTCTGCCCTGGCCTTTCCACCAGCCTTCATCAGCCCCGACATTTATATTCCCATCAGACGTGACAGCCGTGCTGCTCCGCCACGGGGCTCTTGTGCCGCAACGGTTGGCGGCATATTCCCTTACGATGGCCCTGGGCGCTGAATTCCTAAACGCTAAATTCCTCAAGAGGAAAAACGCTTCCCCAGTTAGCGAACCCCACGGGGATGCAATCCTCTGGACCAAAACTTTGGCCAGGAACGAGAAAAGTTTCGTCAAACTTCAGAACGTTGTCTCTGTCGTGGTTGTGTGCAAAGTGGTGCTGCCGGAAACAATGTTATGGCTGCTGCCCCCTGACGAAATTGAACCTGATTGGTTGCAAAACTGCCTGTTTCGGAGATGGTTACGATGCAGCCGGTTTCGAAGTTCCAGGATGCCAAACCTGTAGAGTTATGATGTGCCCTACTCGGAAAGGCAGCTTGCCACGAAATTAAAGAAAAAGAGGGTTTTTTCCGAAGGGCAGTGACATGATTAGGCTATGCCAACACTCGGAACATATTTTCACAGATATGTTCAGAATGCTTTGATAAAGAAGATTGCTAAGCCTTTTACCTGTCGGGCGAATGTGCTGTTCTTTTTTATAAGGCATGCCCATGAGTGCAGAAAGCCTGGTGTACTGGAATTGAGCGCAAGAAGTTAAGAGGCCCTCTGTACTGATGAGTGCTACAAAAAAGACAACAAATTTCCTTTCTGAACATTAAGAACAGCTCACCAAACTAACATTATATTCAGTTGCATCGCGATGTACAACTCCAGTAAATTTGCAACGCCTGCAATAAATACGAACAATAGTATGACGACATCTGTAAAGCTAGCCGTAAAAATGTGACGGGGCGAATGTAAGCATGGTGTGCGTCGTTATCGTAAGTAAATAAGCCATAACTGCGTCACTAGTTCACTGGGTTCGACTCTATAATCAGTACTGATGTGCTGATGGTTGGGCCACTCTTACTGTAAATCGTGTCCGCTACTGAACCACATGGAACTTAAACCAGCTACGTCCAAAGATCGTCGTAATAAGACTTTCGCCCTGCTTCGCGCGAATGAATTAACTGCGAGTCCTCGTTTGTGAGCATGCCCACACAGCATTCCTGGAAGCCGCGAAATGTGTGATATCATTTAAAAGTCGACAACAGCCCACCCTTCATCGTGTTTGATGTGCGTTATTGCCGTTTCCACCCGAGCGGCGGCGCTCGTCAGGGTTCCCAGAAATTAGCCGCGTTCTAAATTTGCGGACGCGACGCATTGAAAGGTAATGCAGAGCGGCATTGTTGTCCACTGTTTGTTTGCACCAAGCTGTTCATTCCTGCAATCCGAGGCAGGGGAAAACAGATGAGTTATACGGATCATTCGAATTATACCGAGGAGACATGCCGACACAAATGAACAATGCGTGCCTGCGAATCACAACCTGCCTACTACGTGACGGATCAATGGGCTCTGACCTAGTGGAGTGAACTTTTCCAAAGTCTATCTTCGCCATCCGATGTCATGCCGGGCAGATAGCAGAGCTCAGGCGCATTGGACCGGAGAATCCCGAACGGCATCCGCAGGGCTGCGCTCTCTCGCCGGCGTCAACTCCTTAAAACAGGCTTGGCGAGATTGCGGCGTCCAGGAAAGTTGTCAACTGAAGTCTGGAATGGTGCACTTGAGCTGAAATGCCGCTTGATCTGTCGAACCGATCGCCACCAGTGCGGTGGCATTGCGACAGTGCTGAGCGATCGCTCCATCGAAAATGGTCATTCTTTCCTCACGAGGCATTCCTCGTTTTTGCACGGCGCTCAAAGGGCAGATTAGACCCGGGAGGAATTACCCTTTGTTTAAGTGCCAGGGCCAGAGTAAGACCAATATGTCAGCTGGGACTGGCGGGAGGCCATTGCCACACCGCAAAATCTGGGACGAATTCACCAAACACTAGATACCCATCGTGGCAGAGAAAGGCATCCTACTCGATGCCTGAGCGGGCCGGCGAATGGCGCCGTCTCGTGGGCTCGTGTGCGGCGCCAGAACACGGCGGTCAGCAGGGTGCTCTTCTGCCCTCGCGTTCTAAACGGGAAGGCCTTACATTGAATCATATTCACGACTGCAGTGAAACTGCGTGTCTGATTGCTCAGGAGTGGCAGGCCGTGTTATGTAACGAAAATCTGCCTTACTCTACCGAGCAGGCGCACCGCAGCCTTGCGTTTGAAGAAATGAAAGCATTGGCGGGTTATGTAGCCGTGGGTCGCACTTTGGATGGTAAGGCCCGAGGCCGGCAAATTTTTAACCGACACGGATCAAAACTTTGTGATGACATGGCCAAAAATGTTGGTCTGAGGACGTCCGTCCATTTTCGGAATCAACCACTGAAAAAGTTATATGGAATGGTTTGAAGCGTGTACGCTTGCAATTTTGGGGGTGATAACACTGATACCGCAAGTTGCGTCTTTTTCGAACCCAACGGCGTCAGCTGCTCCTGCTAACATCAGGCGGTGGCGACCGAGCGCTCATGAACGTTCAGGCCAAAAAGTGAAAAGAAGACTTAAGAAATTAAGCTTGCTGGTAATCAAGTCAGCCATATCTGGTAGCATTGTTTGAAGGCTTTCACCAGCAGGGCACATTCGTTATCCCCACCCCTTTATCAAGACTGGCCGCGCCACCGCGCGCTTTCACGGAGCGAGCCCTCGTTAAGGCGCCTGTTGTCACGTCATGCCATTCGCGGCATTCCATTCGGTGATCATAAATTCAAAATTACAAAGGACGGCTGATATTACCAGGCCAATGCCTCACTTACGCCTAATGAGGAGGTACAATCGTGAACCTCAACACAACACTTATGTGTAACATGACGCATCAATACAGTGGTGATTGTCAAACGCGCTCGGGCCTATGAGTCAATAAACAATGGCGTTTACGTATTGTGGACTAGTTTACGCATTGCCCAGAGGAGGCTAACGCCCCGAAAGCCGAATTCTCGTTTATGCTCGATTTCAGAATGTGTATTCCAATAGATGCGCTTTGACAACTAACAATTTCCAGCCGTGTTCGGCCAAACCAAGTTTGTGTCATATTCTATAAAGCTTTGAAAAATGGTTTTGGCCGTGAGCCTCACCAGCGGTGGAAGTGTAATGTAATTTTCGTCTCCAATGTCTTTGACCCTGTTACTTTTGAAAGCATAACGTATGGCTCCTGTTGCTTACATACACTGGCCCTCGGCTTTTCAGCGACACGACAATATTTCTCTTCCAAAGCAGTTTTATTGAGCTCTTTGTCTGGCTGGCAGGATAGTGTGCAACTGGACCCTCCTGGAAATATGTGCATTGACCACGAAATGGGCTGGGTAGCCGACGGGCTCGTAAAAAGCCACTTGCATCGACCGAGTTAGACATATCTTTCGGACAAACCGTCAGCCTAACAAACCAGAGCGTTAAGTTTATTAGCTAAGGAAACAGCTTGACCTTTCGATAGTTTGGGTGCAAATTTCATTCCAGCTTGCCAACAAACGATTAGCTGTTCATGTTCGTATGTGTGCCCTGCGGGTGGATGCACACATGCTGTCATGATAGCTACTATCTGTGTGCTCACGGGCTTGGCTTGTAAATATTAAGCTATATCAGACATATCTACATTATTAATGGTATGCCTTATGTCTCTCTTACGGCGTCGTTAATTTAATTTGGTGGACGTGAGCCCACCGACACATTTCATCTCAGGACAAGTTAGCAGTTGATCTGGGCACATCAGTCAGGAGGGCGGTTCAGCGCCATTGAACCGTTTCTCTGTGCGCTGATCCCGGGATATGTCATGGACATTGTAAAATATATTCTAATAGGCCACTCTGAGCCGGCGTAAGAAACACTACAAGTCGGGAGAGCAAGCGTAACGTCCAACAGTTCTGCCGCCAGCTCTCGTAAAACCGCGGGAGTAGAACCGTAGCTGCAGCCAGCTCGCAAAATTGCAGCGCAGCGCGCTTGTTGCAAACGTCCTGCATAACCAAACAGTCTTGGAGAAATAAAACCAGCATCGGGCAGACGGGCGGGTGCAAAGACTGCTGAAGCGTCATCCTTGGTCCACATCACTCTGACTGGGACTCTCTTCAGCTGCGGTCTGCAGTTTGTCACGAGCGCGTCCAGCTCGGTCCACCGCCGCTGACTGACTGATGATGATCGACCGGGGTACAGGACAAGTTTGGGCACATTGATGAGCCGTTGTGGTATTTATTCGCTGGTATTCCTTCCAGTTGCTGACGAGGCGAGTGGAGTTGAGCTGAGTACATGAAGCCGCTCGTCACCATGAGCCGAGCGTACACTTTACACCGAGCGGGGTGGAGATGGTACAGCAGCCTTAGCACGAGACGGAGGTGGTACACCTTTCGCCGTCCGAGGCGCAGATGTTCCACCATTCGCGGTACGAGACGGAGGTGGTACACCTTTCGCCGTCCAAGGTGGAGATGTTACACCTTTCGCCGTTCGGGGCCGAGCGTTGGCGGCCCGACACGCGCTTGACTGCCGTCGAGCCACGACGCATCGACCGGACAATTTGGCGCGTAATGAGCCCCTGCCTAACCCCCGCTGACGCCACAAAGGCGTCTGCTAAAAGACGGATACAGTACCGACCCGGGCCTGTCGCACCACGCATCACGTGACGTGCGCCATCAGAGCGCCACGCACGCACCAATGGCTGAATAACGTGCGCTTTGTGTCCGCGCACCGCGGTGGCCTGTGTCGCGCGGGCGTGCGCACGGTGGCGGGGAACGGCGTCGACTGGCGCAGTGCTGCTCTGGCTGGCGCGGTGCTGCTCTGGCTGGCGCGATGCTGCTCT